AACAAAGGAGGAGGCTGCAATGCTTGATAAGAAATGTTCGCATTATCCTGCCCATGTAATTGTAACCCCTCTGTACAGTATGTTCACAAAAAAATTAAATTAAATTAAAAAAGAAGAAGACCTGGACTACAGGCAGCTCTTCCTAAGAAATCAGGAGGTTCTATGTTTCACTGCTATCACCAGGGCTGGGACTTCCTGTTTTGCTTTCCAATAATGTGTCCATTTACTGGTAACCAGAGGCTTTCTATGTGATCCCTGGAAAGCGAACAAGTCCTCACACCACTGCAAGGCATTCTGTTCTTCCACAGAGGGAGGTGTTTTTGTGTGCCTGCTCCCAGTCTGCTGAATCTCAGAAGAGTTGCAGTAACCAGGGCACTCTGCCCATTCATCAGCTTACTTTGATCTAACTGGCTGAAGCCTGTGCCAGGAAAAGTACCTTCTGGGGCACATAAATGACAGATTTCTTAGGGTGTGACTTTTTTGTTTTTATATAAGAAAACTATCACTTCCAAGTGCACATGTTGAGTCATTTCTCTGTGACTCTGACAAACTTCTCATGAAGGTTTTTTCTGAAGTAGTGATCAGCTGCCAGCAGCCCGCAGACATTTGTAATGAAGAACAAGCTAGAATTGTCTCCCTTTGCCCAACCATGTTTTAAATCTATTACCTTGAGTGAGTAGTTGGGGAGGCAAATGCATAGAGAGAGAGAGAGAGAGAGAGAGAGAGAGAGAGAGAGAGAGAGAGAGAGAGAGAGAGAGAGAGAGAAAACAATAGTGCAGAGGTTGATTGTTCGAGTCCTCTGGAGAAGTTTGCCCTCCACAGACAACCTCAGGAGCTCCACTTGGGGTGATCATGCATTGGACCCACAGCCCAAAGGCAGTAGCACACTAAGAAGCCAGCACCTGCCCACATCTGCTCTTAAAACCCTTTCAATTTTTCCTCATTTTTATCTTTAGCCCTCTGTCAGCTCTCATTTTTATTCTATGAAGGGTTAGGAATCCATCGCTTTCTGCTGAGCATGTATCTGTTGAGAGGTAAAGATAGATTTGAACTACAGAGCAGCCAAGTGTTCCCCACAAATGTGAGCAGGCTGCTGGGAAGAGCTCTTAACTGCACAACACGGAGAAATAATACTTATCTGACTTATTATTCTTGGATGCATATAGCTAATGATCTGAAGTTTTTCAGAGGACCCAGTATTTAATGTAAATCTACTGTGGAATTTTTTACCTCATGATTATTCTCGTAGAAGGAGGACCTAGTATATTCCTGGGAATGTGAACTTTCCTCAAACATTACCAAGTCCTAGCTACTGGCCATGGGCCCCATCAGTCCCTGGGGTTGACGTGATGAAACCAAGACCCAAACCTGCCCTGAAGCAGATGCCTGGCACCTTTTATGTGTTGTCTCACATGCGTCTTGTCTGTTTAGGAATTGTACATATATTGCATGCTTTGCGGGAGAGAAGAGAACCAGCTGCCCTTCTTGGCTGTACCTTAAGAGACTCTGCCTCTTATAATGGGCTAGTTTCCCATGCAGAAATATGATTGGCCAGTTCACCCATAGCAAAATATCAAGTAATCCTAAACACCTCAGTTATTATCAGAGTTATTTTAAAAGCTAGATAAGATCCTAAAACTTACTTAGCTCAACCCTTTCATGCTACAAGCAAAATTCAGCTACTCTGTTTGCTTTCACGGTATGTTTTAAGGGTTGTCAACATTTAAAAATGGGGAGATCTGATATTTAAAAAATGAGTACACTTGGATGCTAGTGGCTCATGCCTGTAATCCTAGAT